GCGATGTTGGGAAGCTTGGCGATCCTGGAGAAGAGTTAGAATGTGATAGAGATTTAACGGGGGTTTGCGGAGACGTACAAGTCCATGGCATCCTCAAAGGTGGGACCCCAGTAGTCCTTCTTGCTAATGCCCTCCTGGTAAGCCTTGGCGAAGGCAGAGTTGTGGTTGAGGGCGGTGACAGCGAGGGAGAACTGGCTCATGGGGTGGAGGGTGGGAGGGCATCGGTCGAGGATCTCCTCAACGAACTCGGGGATGGCGGCGCGGGCAGCCCATTCCTTGGAGAGGGCGTCAACTTGAGCCTGGGTGGGGATTTCACCGGTGACGAGGAGCCAGAAGAGGCCTTCGGGCAGAGGCTCTGAACCACCGGGAGCCTTGGGGAGGAGTTCCTGGCATTCGGGAATGGTCTTGCCTCGGAAACGGATACCCTCCTCTGTGAGCTGTACGTGAGCGGTGGAGCTGGTGACGAACAAGTGAATCGTGGCGTACCAGCATCCAAGACGGAGCCGTCCCAGATGAGAGCGGGGAGACCTCTCATGCCTCTGCACAAAGAATTAGTCGGGTGGATTCGGTGCCAGTTTGTGAGGGATTTACGGACCCATAGAGCTGGTCAACGAGGACGGGGCCGAAGGACTTTTTCCCGTGGGCTGCACGGGTAGCCTTGACCTGTTTACTGCTGTCTCAGACAAATGTTGAACAGAGTCGTGTTTGGGAAGACTGACATTCTCGATTTCGGCGGGGATGAGTTCAGCCAAACGCTCCTTGAGCGACAAGGTTTTTGAGGCGGTGGACGAGAGGCGAACTTGAGTTCCAACTCGGAACACCGAAGGACGAGACTAGGTTCTATGTTAATAGGAGAAACATAAGAGGGAAATAATAACATACAGCCTTGAGGATGGATCGTGCAGCGACGGACATTTTTTTGAAGGAAGAGGAGACTGAAGAACCCCGGATATCCAATGCTACGTCTTTATAAAATACTGCCATTCCGGTATTTTCCTGTGACGCGATCACGATCACGTGAACTCTTCCCCAACCAAACTTGAAACCCACCGCACATCGGCAAATATCTTTTCACATCAAATAATTATGGCAAAGCGAAAACGAGGCGCTCAGGAAGTCCCTTCCTCGACTGCACCGGCAACACCAGCTGCCAGTGTCTTGCTACCACAGGTGGGGAGAGAACACAACATACATCGAATGTATCCTTATTCTTTGTAGAAAAAATACTATCGACAACGGGCCCATGCCAATCCGTTTTCAGACCACTCGCTCGACTATCCCTCAGCGCCTGATCAAATCGACTGGGGCCAGCACTACCCTGCTTATGCTGGCACAGGAAAGACACCCGACTTTGCTGATGTCGGATGTGGTTTTGGTGGCTTGTTGATCGCTCTCGCTCCCCAGTTTCCCGACACTTTGATGCTCGGTGGGTCCATCTCCCCAATATCTTTGCAAGCGAGCTCATTATTCCGTTCCCACCAGGCCTGGAGATCCGAGTTCAAGTGTCGCAGTATGTCCAAGACCGCATCAACGCACTTCGAGTCGCAGCTGTAGCCGAATCGACGACCGACACTCCGCCCCACCACTACCAAAATGTCTCCATCGTCCGCGCGAACGCTATGAAGTTTTTACCCAATTACTTTGGCAAGCATTCGCTTGAGGCGTTGTTTTTCTTGTTCCCGGACCCGCATTTCAAGTCGAGGAAGCACAAGGCGAGGATTATTTCCCCGACGCTGTTGGCCGAGTATGCGTATGTGTTGAAGCCTGGTGGGATTGTGTATACCATTACGGATGTGAGGGACTTGCATGAGTGGATGAAGAAGCATTTGGAAGAATTTCCGCTGTTTGAGCCGGTTGATGAGGAGACGTTGAGGAAAGAGGGCAAGGGTGGTATTTTGGATGCTGTGTATCATAGTACGGAGGAAGGGAGAAAGGTGGAGAGTAATAAAGGTGATAAGTGGTTGGCTTGTTTTAGAAGGGTTGAGGTGCGTAGATAGCTAATTACGTAGCTTACTCTCTTACCACTACCATCCAATATGGCCTCTACACTCAAATCCCCCGCTGTGCCCCCGTCCATCCTCGATACAGATCTCTACAAGGTATTAATATCCTTCGTTGCTTCGTATATCTTCTGATAACGGGATTAGTTGACGATGCAGCAAGCGATATTGATCAAGTTTCCCGCTGTGGAAGCAACTTATCGCTTTACGAATAGAAACAAGGCAACCAGGTTCTCTAGACAGTGTATTGAGAGGTTTAGGAGTGCTGTAGCGAGTGGGTATCCTTTCCTTGTCCTTCGTTGGCGCTGATAATAATACCGCCCTAGGGTTCTCGCTACTGGCGCTCACACCCGACGAGCGGGCCTGGTTGGACAAGACTTGCCCATATCTCACCAAGGAGTATTTGGATTACCTTGAGGCGTTTAGGTTTAAGCCTGAGCAGGTTGATATCGTGTTTGTGCCTGAGGAGGGCGATGAAGGGTGGGGGCAGGTCAAGATTGAGGCGACGGGTCCGTGGGTGGAGACCATCCTATGGGAAGTCCCTCTGATGGCTTGTCTGAGCGAGACGTACTTTCAGAGTGTGGATAGGGATTGGGAGATGGATGGTCAGGAAGGTGCGTATCATCGGTTCTGGATGTTTATCCATTGGCTAATTTATTGGCTGCTACTATATACAGAATTGGCCTATCAGAAGGGAAGGAGACTCCTCGAAGCAGGGTGTTCCTTCAACGAATTTGGAACGAGACGCAGGAGGTCGTTTAGGACCCAGGAGATCGTACTGCGGGGCCTTGTGAAGGCGAGCAGGGAAGTGGGCCCCGAGAAGACGAATGGAACCAGTGCGGCTGGGACGGAGAGGGGGACGAGTATTGGACGCCTTCTTGGGACGAGTAATGTGAGTCCTGTCAATCCTTCGTTCCATTCCTTCTCTCTGTGTGGCATGGAAGCGACTCGGGGTTGATTTATCCTCCCTGGGAGTTACCTGTTGTTTTGACTTTTGACTGGATGAAGGGAGGGGTATCTGATTGATGTATTACAGGTCCATTTGGCGAGGTTGCAAGGTCTGCAGCCAGTCGGTACGATTGCCCAGTGAGTTTTCGCTCTGTGGCTTCTGGGTGTGCGGGCGCTTATTTGTGTTGTGCGTGGGGTTGTAGTGAATGGTTTATGGGGGTACGTCATTTGTTATTTGTACGCGGAGTACGGACCGTGGTTCATGGAACGTGGTCGAGTTCGGGTGGTGAGCTGGATGGCTGATTATGGCTCTTGAATTGACGCAGGGTGCGGCTATCACGGGGTATGACAATGC